CTTTTCTAGAGTCGATAATGACAGATCATGAAATTTCAAACATGATGTAGCTATATATTTATAAGTTTGTGCGATTCACGCAATTCTTATAATTTCAGCCAAAAATATATGCATGCATTTAATTTATATATCAACACGTTAATCCATATATATGCTTCGAATTAGTTCCCTTTCCAATCTTTCGAACTCAAAAGCCCAGAAAACATGACAAGGTTGTCAAAGTTTGGAGAAGTGCCACGTATACATACTTTGTCTGGCGGCGTATACTCTTTTCTTTGTTCATCGATCGATTCCTCTTGCTAATCCATTCATGAATACCAAATTTAAAACAAATTATGATTGGGATGGTTTAGCATCTAATTATTTTAAGGCAAGAAATTCTTGCCTGATAGCTTTTGATCTCATATCATCCAATTTGGAACATTTTTTTTTCAAAAACCAAGGCTTAGCAGTTATTCACACACACGCGTCATTCTTACCATTAATTATCTTTTCACCTTAAACCCATTGTTACCCTACGAACTAAATGAATTTGGAAAAAGGAGACACGTAAATTAATGAGTCGAGATAGTCTAAAGAAGTCTATTAGATGCTAAACAAAAGATAAAGTGGAAAGTTGATGAATTAATGAAGTGCTTTGAGTTCATTGAATCGTTGAATATCATAATACTGAAGAGGCTTTTTGTCTGCTTTTTGAGAGGAAGGAGATCTATCCAGTGAATTTGGAAGCGAATAATGAGTACAAAGGGATAACCACAAGCGTACGTGGATATATCTTCCATTGTCGTTTATCATACGCACACAGTCTTCTGGTCCTTAATATAGGAGTTAATTAGGGAGTTGATGTTGGTATTATATATAACACCTGTTTCACATGTTTATCAGTTTTTTCTCAAATTAACCCTATTAATATTCTCACGACAATAATAAAGTAGGAGAGGGAGGGAGGAAATTAAGAAAAATGCTCAGGACATTTTAGAAAAACATATCATATTAACTAATTTAACTAACATCCATAACCTAATCAAATTAGTTAGTTAGGTTTTATATTAAAGACCGAAGGAGTAATAATCTAAGAGGGCTGCTAATTGATTAACTCTGCCAATAATCAAAGGTGGGTTAGCTTACTTTATCAACCTCTAGCTAATTCAGCAAATAATTAACCATGATCAATAAACCAAGGTTTCTGCTTCAGTTAACACCAAAATGGATCACATACACGAACCTAATGAATAATGCTTGATATCGTGGCAAAAATATCAGGTACCCTCATAAAATAATGGTTTTGGTTATTAATTGTAACATAGAGAGCAATTACACCTAACCCCCAAAAAAGGACCAATTAACTTATGAAGAATCAACCAGGACAGGAGACAGAATAGGGACCAGTTGGAATTACAAGAATAACAATTATGTTTATATATAATGAGATGGATGCATGTTAGTTGATTAAGGCCACCAATTTCAAAACTTTAAATAAAAACAGACCAACCAAAGCCTTGACTTAAAACTTGTATGTCACATAGCATATTGCAATTCAGGGTAAATGGACACTCATCCATTAACTTCCTCGGAAAGCATCGGGCGTTTTCTTGTTAATTGAAGTCCATATATGTTAATTTACCTTTCATCGTATCCATGAACTAATAATGTCAGATTCCGCCCCCCCCTCTTAATGTTAAATAAGCACTATACATTGTTTTCTTCCGCTGGGTGAAAAGGGAACCACAAAGGATTACTAAAATTAAACATTTTTTTTTGTTATGACTCACACAACCATTATACTGAGGGTTGGAGGGGGAATAACCTTGTACTTAAAGATTTAGGGAGAGTTTGGTAACATTTAAAAACACTTAAAAAGATATGTTTACGTAAGTTGAGACAAGATTCTTCTTATATATTATAAAATTACTTTTAAAAAACTAATCCAAACACTCTCTTGGAGAAGATGTTTAGTATCATTGAACTACAAGCTCTTGCCTAAAATCGAAGATATTATAGAATAACATGCATGTTGAATTTGTATATCGTCATGGCCATAAATCTCAAAGAAAGAGTTTATCCCTTCAATCACTGCACTGAATTTTCCGCGTTGGTCAAGATTCTGTGGTTAATTCGCTTTACAGTGCTGGCCTTTTAATAAAAGAACTGATATCATACATGAGCATAAATCTAGCTATAAAAGAGGGTCTATTTCAAGAAGAAAACTAATTAGCTAACTAAGTGGGAACCCTTTAATTTATTGTAAGTCACAGTTCTTAAGTAAGCTTTTCTTTGATTTGAGATTCATAAGATATATTAAAGCAATACGTAAATTGAAAATGTTGAATTTAGAGGGAAAAAACTTTGAGGAAATCAGTGAATGATTGTCCGCTGGTACCAATTAGCGAGTGACACGTACGCGTGTGCTGTCATAATAATAATAATTAAGCATAGGAACAGTATATATAGATGGATGGTGTAAAATAAAGGCCACGTACATAAATAAGGTTTCCTTCCCAATCGTTTTGACCTTTAATTAAAGCGACGTTGCCTATTATTATCACAAGTCACAACCAAACAAATTACGTGTTGGAACACTGTCATGTCGTCATCCAGACTATTAAAAAAAACATCAAAATAACAGAATATTTACACACACACATACATATATAGCTAGTTTATTAAGATAATTAAGAAGGTTAATGGATGGAGGGTCGTGATTTGGCGGATGTGAATGCAAATCATGAGGGGGTCTGATCCTGATGAATCTCATTAAATTGTGCTTCGCTTCGGAACACTGCATGGGATATTGGGTTGCCCTACAGACCAACCCTACCCTTATTATTCTATTCCCTCCTTGCTTTCTTTCATCCTGTCTCTCTCATATACTATAATAATAATAAACAGGAAGAATTGTTATGAATCTAAGAGAGAAATATAATTATTAAAAAGTTTCAGTACCAATATAGTAACTTGCAATAACAAGTTTTAGAATATAGTAGCTTGCAATAATAAGTTTCAGAATAAACAATGAAAACTGCTTATTTATAATTAGGACTTGCTAGTAATTATATTCTTTTTTTTTTTGGACCTCATTCTAATTCTCCTTAATAAATACTCAAATACCCACTAACTCACATATATATTAATAATAATTTGAATATAATTAGTCCTTATCCACAGGCCATGCTAATTCATTCAGCAGCTATATGAGTAATAATTTTATCTCTGCTGCATAATTACTGCGAGTCTTCATAGAACAGCTACTTCATCATTCATTTTAATTTGTGCCTCTCACGCTGAAATGACCATAGAGGTGAAGAAGGATATGCAGCAGCATCTAATTAAAACAAGTGCATGCGCAGCTATTAACTAATTTCATTTAAATCAAAACACTTCTTTGGTATAATTGTGCATACTAATGAAATCCATTAAATAGCCTTTAAAATCTCATAATTTCCAAAAATACATATAAGCTTTTAAAAACATCCTTCAATTGATAGAGAAAGAGAAAGAAAGATTGTGTGAGACGTAAAATAATCAAAGACAATGGAGAGCTCTTTTTTTCTCTTCAAACGAAGTGAAATATTCTACTTATCTGGAAAAAAAATTTATAAATGCTTCAAACATTCGGTGAAGTGGCTTATATTAGAAACTAAGTAAAACCTACTTAACTAACAGGAGGCCTTAATTTCTGTGGTTTGGTAATGTCTCACACACTTGACGTGGTGGTTGTGAGAATTCTGTTCTGTAATATTATTATTCTCACCGAATCCTTAAAGTTGTCTGACCGTTGAAGAATATGCGTTTTTCCACCCTTGCAAGAGAAAAAAGAAATACTCTAGAACTAAAATTAAACAAATAAAGAGAAAAGCGCGCAATTTCAAAAACGCAATCATTGCAAATGGAGAAGCTTCTCTTTATAATCTCATTTAGAGACCACAGAATTTAATTAAACTTTTCTTCATTGTCCAAAAGAATGCATGCTTGAAAAGAAGATAAAAAGAGACCGTTTACCCATGTTTTGGTCGTCATATTGGTTCTTCCTAATTATTTACTTAATCTTAACTTTTCGTTTTTAATCCGTTTATTACCATCCTTAATTTGTATCCAATTACTCAAAGATCATATAATTTTCCTCAATTTATCCCGCAGATTTGACTTCTAATTTTTACGCTTTTCCTATTTTGTTTTTTAAAGTTTGGTCCCAGCAGGTTCATTGTGCACATTCATCATGTTTTTTTTAAAATTATTTTAATGTTGAGTAATTGAATTGAAGACTTCATTGACAAGTTTGAATGACATCACTACCCGTCACTCGTAAATGAAGTTTTAAGCTTGAATTTGGTATTGACATATTTGTATGCATATGTGTTTAAATTTAATAAAATAAAAACAAATTAAAACTTGAATAACTGAAATTAAATTAATGGGCAGAGAAATTGTCCTCAAAAAATTTGAAAAATTTAAGCATTAAAAATGTGGAAAACGAGTACAGTAAATATAAAAAGGAGTGCTGAAATATTTGCTTAGAAAAATTTAATGTTAGCCAAGAACTATAATCCTTTTTAAAATTTTTTAAATATTTCATTGAGCTTTTATGCCCAAAAGTTAATTATACAAATTTGGAAAGATCACGGGTTCAAAGTTCATCGCATCAATACTAACCAGAGATGAAATTTGAAAACTTCAAATATAACTTAGATTATACAAAATTAAAATTAATTTTTGTTTAAAAATGATGGTTAAATTATCTCTATTATATTTTAGATTCCACATATAAAAAAATAAATAGTTAAAATATAAAAATGAACACCTAAAGTATGAGTTTTTTTTTCCCTTGATAACAACTGGGAGAGACTAGGTCTCAAGACAGCTAACACACCGCTAGAAGCACGAGCGGGGTCATGGGAACGTAACCATTCATGCAAGAGAAAGCTTGTATTGCACAGGCTTATTTTTTTTTTAAAAAAAAGCAATGAAATATGGACCCTCCAACTTAATCTGGACAGTCCAAGGAAGTAATGAGTACGGCCTGCATGGAATCCATTTTTACAAAGGCTTAATTAACCCAATGCCAGAATAATTTATTTACAGATTTCCTGAAACTAGATTTGCGGCACGAGACTGCCGATAAAGAGACCATAGCAATCTGACAAGCAACGCATCCAGCCCAAAAAATGGAGTGACCTCGTCAGGAACCAAGAGTTCCTAATACTGTTACAGCAATGATGTACAACAAGACTGTACAAAATCAACAATTATGAACATACTTGATGATGCGCTCTGGCGGCAGACAATTCTTTCTTTAGTGCAAGAACTTCCATGGCTTTGGAAGCCAACTGATTCTTCAGCTTTACAGCACCCTCCTCATACTTTCTATTCATTAAATCAGATTCATCGATGGCTTCCTTGTATCTTCCACGGAAGGCCTCTAGCTTCGCTTGTGTTCCCCGAAGCCTCATTCTAAGCTTTGTCATCTCCTTGTTATTTCTCACGCCATCCTGTTTTCATCATAATGCCAATAACAGGTTAATGGTCTCCCGAGACTAACTCATATCAACTTTGAACGGACATAATACCCACCCCATGCATTTTGGCTTCCATCCTGCAAATTTTCGTACTTAGTTCCTCTACTTGGACTTGTGCCTTCGACAGCTGAAAACCAAACACTCTTCGAGGTCAGTAAAGAGATTTAAAAGACTAAATACCGACCAAAGGTACGCCTTTTACCGTACCTCATCATAGCAATGTTTTCGTTGATGTTCCGCTCCCATTACATTATTTCGGCGCTCTTCCAATTCGATCAATATATTGTCCCTTTCTTTTGTAACGACGCTGAGTTGTTCTGTGAGATTCTGTCAAGGAGGCATCATGGTATGAGCAACCTTATTTCCGATTTCAATATGATAATTTCTACGTATATAGGCAACGAAGAAGAAACCTGAAACTCGTTCGTGTGTTCTGTTGATAGATTACTGCCCTCAAGTACGTTTGTCTCCTGAAGCATATTTACCCTCTCGTTGTCAGTATAGTCATGCCCCAAGGACAGATTCCCAATAGACGATTTTGACACCTGAAATGGATTACAAGATCGTAATAAATGTGGGGTATGTTGTTAAAATGTCAACGCTAGAAATTGACAGCTGAAATTCTTTACTTCTTGGAGTTCGTTGTTCTTGGCATTATCCGTTGTGTCCTCATGGTTCGTTGGCTGATCAATCTCCAAAGAATTCTCCCTGTATCTAATAACAAATAAGATAGAAGTCAATCCACTTAAGACAATTATAATAGGCAGGGCATCATTAAAAAGGTTAAAGAATAAGGAGTAGGGAGCATCTTCGTTTTGGAGGCGACGAAAAAAACAACCTAAGGCCGCATTAGTGAAATTAAATGAGAAGAAAAATGCCAAAAGCAAGGGAATCCAACCGCACTAGAACCCAACTAAGTTTAAAATATGAATACAGCAAATTTAGCTAATTAGCACGGAATCAATGGGGTGTAAAGCAACTTTCTCAGCATCAAACCCATCTGGGTACTAACCCAGCCTCCAGCAAGCATCTGGTAACAAAAACCAAAACATATTATTTCTACATGTCTGTGTGTGTGAAACTGCGTGCATGCATCAACAAGGGAGCAGTCAAATCTTGATATCGCTTTTAATGTCGTTAATTAGGAAACACTCATGTTGCTTCCCTCGATTACAGTAAATGCAACTCATGCCACCATCCGATAAAGTAATCAAATGGGCCAACTAGAGGCCCTAACAGAACTATACTCAAGCAGAATTTAGCACAGGACAAGCAGTTGACAGAAAAATAAAGTTGAAGTACTAAAACCAAACTCCACAAACCTTTATACGTAAACGTACCATTTGAATATATTAATTCACGAGATAATAAATAAAGAGATAGTGGGAAAAAAAATCAAAAGATAGAAAAAGAGGGAAATAAACTAAGACGATAAGACAAACAAACCTAGATTTGTCCTTGAAATGTGAATCCTCTTTCGAACAAGTCAATCTTTCCCTGAGGACCTTGCATTGTTCTCTATAAGATTCCAGTTCATTCTTTACCTGAAATTTATAAACAAAATCAATTCAGGCAGACAATAGTATGTGAATTACAAAAGCAGTTTATCCATAAAAGCCGAAAAGAAAACCCATGAAAAATTAGCCTGATTTTTCACTTGAACATTATCGGAGATTATAGTCTTGCATCAAAAGCAAATAGATAACTTCAGAAATATCATTGCCAAAACTTGAACTTTGATGGCAACTATGCATTCGAGTTTTAACAGGGAAAAAAAAATACCAAGAACAATTTCTAAACCGTATTATATAACCAGATTAAGAGCCGTGGAAACACAAGACATGCAATATCTAAAAAACATACACAGGCTTCAAGGACTTCAATGACAACAAGCACGGATGAAGTATTTAAAAAAATAAAAATGAACAAACCAATGCTTTTTAAATGGAAAAGGAAATGAATCTCACGTCTAATAATTCTTTTGATAATGACATAGTCTGCACATTGTTTAACCTTGCCTTTTCTTCTATAGCCTGAGCTGCAGCTTTCTCCTTTGCAGACCATATTGCCTTTTCCTCCTCCATTTGCAAAAGGGCATCTGTAAGTTGCTGCAAGATCAAGGAGATAAAATAAAGCAACTTTACCTTGATATAAAGAAGGCTGCCAAGGAAAACAGATACATCACAACAAAGAGAGAAAATAACATTGAATACCATTGCCAACTCTTCTTTTTCTTCAACCAACATCTTGATAGATTTTTCCAATTTTTCGTGGTGAGAATTAGATTCTTCGAGCAGTTGTCTCTGAATGGACAAGAATAAGATGCCAGATTCCACGTTTTAAATATTAACAGATGTTAGCAATTTTACGTGTCATCTTTAGATCAAAGAGCTGAAGGTGAAACCTGAGCAGAAATATGCAGAAAACTTACAAGAGCAGAAATCTCTTCGTTCAAATTACATAGTTCAGAGTTTGACGTGTTCAGCCTATCAGTCAAGTTTTCCAGTTCTGAAGCCAAACTTTCATTGAAAGATATTAGATCTTCTTTCTCCTTCAACGCAGCTGACAGTTGTTCTTCCAAAGAAGTGATTCTTGTTTCTGATTCAAATGCAAGAACTTCCAGCCTTTTGTAATCTTCCTAAACCATGGCAATATTAAATTAACAAAGAATAATACATTATGCATCAAATTAATTCCATTCATGAGGAAACTTTATCAAATGAAAACAAATGGAAAGCATATCCATATATAACATCATGATCAAACATGTGCAGCAGCTGTCTTGAAGTTTATAATGACATCATCACCAAATACAGGCAGCGGCGTAGGAAGAAAGTACCTATCAGGGTGATGCGATTGTATGTTTTAATACACAATATTTTTTGGGAAAAAAATCTACTCTACAATATATGCGGGCCATAAGTAAACACCCCCTATATGAGCACGTTGTGGCACTCGCACAGCTCCAATTGCCTGCGCAGCACCACAACATAAAACACGGCATATTTTTAAAATAAGTCTTTATATGTTCGCCACAAATTGACGGGCGTATTTCTAACAGTACTTTACGATGCATATCAAAAGCAACAGAACAGACTATTTCCGTTGGTAAAGAGTATTGAAAATGACCTATTTTTAAGCCCAAGCAAAGACCAATAAAGGTTGCTTTTGAACGAATAAAAGCAATAATAATGCTGGATAAATTACATTAAAGCTCAATCAACTCTCATCACAAAAAGAAGCAACTATCAAGCACACTTATTTGTTACTATGACAAGATTCCAGCAGCTTAAAGAACTCAAGGAATTTTACATAAGCATATAACAAGTAAAATTTCAAAACCTGAAATGTCTGTTCAAGGGGAATAGCGAGACCCTTTGGTCTTTTCGAATCAAACAGCTTCGAACTCCTTTCAATAACTGAATCACGCCTTCTACCAGCAAGTGAATCGCGTTTATTAATATCACGTTCAAGAAGAGAATTCTGACTGTGCAGTCTTTTTATCTCCCGTTCAGCATATGCTTTCTCACCCTGCCGGTGTACATAACATGTTAGGCATGTGCTTTGAAAATTGATCACTTCCATGTAAGGATGAAAGCATGGAATATTATATACAACCTCAAGTTTTGTTCTCTCTTGTATGGCAATCTTGAGCTTACACTCGGTTTCTTTCAATTTGGTTCTTGTCTTCTCAAGATCTTTTCTTAAGGCTTCCTTTTCCTTAACCAACGTAGATGATGCTAAGCACGATACATCTTTTTCAAGAGTTTGAATATAAGAAAGCAATTCCGCATTTTCCAATTGGTGCTGTTCTGAAAGTTCCTGTAGAATAGAGTCAAGATGTTCCTAAATCCTCATTGTTATGATGCGCAGACATAAGATAGCGCAAAAAATTTATTATGAAGGCCCCACCGCCATAGAATTTTGGGAATTTAGCACATGAAGCTTTGATTCCTGAAGCTGCTTTTGAAGATCAGCTGATTCATTGACTAGAAGAATCTGCAGCACCAATTGTTCAAACTGAGTCTTAGACTTTTCAGCCAGAACCAAAATTAAATATAGTTAAAATACTTAACCTTTTCGTTCTCAAGTTCAGATACTTTTTGTCTCAAGCAAGAATTCAACTTCTGATAGCTACTCAAAATTAACTTTTGTTCTGCTGAACACTGGGATAGTGAAGTTTTTAAATCCTGCATCAAACATTAAAGATTATACTAAATTTCTAAGAAAACTTTAACATGTAGATGAAATAATTGATAAGTTGTTGGGAAAGAAAAGATTGCATATTATTTGCTCAGCAACTTGAATATTTTCAGGGTCCCGTCAGCATGTTGAACATTCCTCTGCAGCTTTACTTATATTACAGATATTTATTCTGCTGTATCACAATAGCACTCACCAGGAACACATCACAGAGAGCAGAGAAACTTTTAGCAACCTCATCCATAAGCAAAACAACAGTATGAACTGTTTCTTTTGAGTTTTGTACTTCCGATGTTATTTCTTGAACTTCCATTGAAATATTGATCATGAAATCCAAATCCCCATCCTAAGTATACCATAAAGAATCAGTCAAATGGAGTTCAATAAAACATATAAGATGGTCATATAAAAGTAAACTAATATGAAGTCATGTTGACATAATGAATTGTAAGCAAGAAAGAATCCAGACGTTCAAGAAAAAGCTCCAAAAGCATACATCAACTTTGTTCACACTTTCACAAGAAGTATGCTTTTCATTAGCCACCCGTGCTGTTTCCCGCGCATCAAGAAGCTCTTCGTAGAGCTAAGCAAATTTTAAAATGACAAAAGAAAAAAGAAATGGATTAGTATACAAACTACAAAATTTAACTTGACGTTCAAACAACTCAACCAAACTATGCAATAAGATACTTAGTGATTAACAAATAATACAATATATCAATTCAAACCATCATCACCTCTTCAATTTTTTCTTGGGCATGTATGTTCTGCTTGGTAGCCAGATCAACAACATTATCCAGGTCATGTTGGCTAGAGGACTTCTCCATTTTCAAAACCTCGATCTTAAAGATATGAAGCACAGAAGAAATGTGAGTGAAAAGAAGCTTAATCCGCGCCTATAAATATGTGTGAATCCTAATTTAGCACAAGGTAGGAATGCTTATCAAACTACCAAAAACTTAATCAAATTTCAATAGAAGATATTACTGAAAAAAATTCAAACCGCAAAAATGAGAACAGACTAAACCTGATCTTGAAGTCTCTTGATAATCATAATAGCCTCTGATTCTCTGAGGCTCGAATTTTTATCCCCATTAAAACAAATCCTATCGACATAATTTGAACAGTCAATAGACTCAGCAGATTGAAGAGAATTTGTTTTTGCTAACTGTTCTCCCAAGCATTGAATTTGTATCTCACTCATTATTATCTGCATTAAGAAAAACGTAATCACGCTTATTTTCCACTAGCTTCAGATTTCCCGGAAGAGAATTGTGAATGAGAACGGTAACCTGAGCTACAAATTCTAGAAACAAGTCCTCATATTCTGCGCTCATGTTAAATAACTCATTGTCATCCTGCCATATATACAAGCAATTAGTGCACAAACTAGGGAGAGTTTTGCAGAGGAAATTAAATCAGGGCATATGACAAACCATGGATAAGCTTTTTTTCCTTGCTGGAACCTTTTTTCTGTTGGTTACATGCAATAAAGCACAAGCATGAGGTAGATTACAGCTATTGCCAGCAGCAGCACTAAAATCATCTCCTTGCTTATCGGATTGCACCACAGGAATGCTTTCGTTTACTAGTTCCTCGAACGGAATGAGAGGTCCTATGTCTCTTACGGGTTTAACGGATTTTCTAGCAGAGGCCTTTGACGGGATACTAGGGTATGCCTAAAATGCAGAAAAGAGACGAGTTATGTGCAAATATTGAAGCTAAAGGATAAGACTCGTATATACTCAAATAATTCATTCTAAACTATGTAAGAGCTCGTTTTTGCATTTGAATACAGGAAGAATTATGGACATTGCAACAATATTAAACCATTCAAACGAAAACAAACACAAGCATCGATTCACAATTCAACATAAGTAGACCAGAGAAATTGATCGGACATAATATTAGCGAGAAGAAAATGTTACATCATTTAGATTTTCCCTTGAAAGTTTGCCAGGACACCATGTATCCCGCCTCTTCTCCTGCAAAGCATTTGAGAAAACATAATCACGATGGAAAGGGAAAAGAAGGAGGAACTAATGCTTGGGGGGGGGGGGGGGACAATGCAAGCAGCAATAAATGACAGTTGATTACTTTTCTTTTGCCATCCCAAGTCATAGACAGTTGATTACTTTCAAAATTTTCTATAGAAATGGCAAAAAGCAGACATTTTGCAGAGATTTGCATGACTTTGTTCCAGTCAAACGCAAAAATTCGACACACACGGATAACATCTTTATACATGCAAAGTGGATGAGAATTACTGAGGACAGCACAAAGTTTAAGGAAATTGATAAACAAGAACGTCATTATGCATAAAATATGCTGGAAAAATGATTCCAGGTTTGTCAAATGAACACAAATATATATATTTCCCAAAACCATAACATCAGTTCAAAATTTGGTGACAACGAAATGCTTTTCCAAGCAAAGTCACTAAAAATAAATATTTTTCTTTTTCCCTTTTGGATTACAAAAAATAAATATTTTTATGAGAAAAGCAAAATTTGCATGTTTTGTTCGAAGGATGAGACAAAACCTTTTATGCCATAGAAGAAATATGCTGACACATTCATTGATCAAGGATACCTTTTTGGTGTGGTCACGAGTCTCATCCCTGTTTGAAAACAGAACCATTGAACTCAAATTTTCAATTTTCCTGGCCTGCTCTTTTACTCTCTTTTCCCATTCAGCTTGAGCTTTCTTCTCCTCTTCCAACTCCAAAGCTATTCTTTCCCTCTCCAGTTCAGTCTATCCAAAAAGGAATTTTACCTTACAGAACAAACAAAAGCCCTTTGGAAAGATTAATCAAAGAAATTTTCATACCTGTAATAATGTATTTCGAAGGCTCAGAACCTCAGCTTCCAAATGCTCAGAATGAGAACCCTGATGAAGACCAAAAATATTATTTAATAGTTAACACTTCTTAAAGCAAACTTTTCCATTCATCCATATAAGCAAGACGGCAAAGTCCGCAGAAAATTATGTCAACCTGCAATTTTGCTCGCAGCTCTTCAATCTCTTTCTTTTGACGTTTCAACAGTGCCGCATCTGTCAAAATCTGATGGGAAAGGGGAGGAATAAGCTTCACTAAAAGAAAATGCACCTCAATGTAAATGTGAAGTAGTTGTAAATCACACAAAAGACAAAAAGCAGAACTGAACAACATTAGATATTTAGGACACCTTTGCATCAATAATTGAAACCACCACTTGAAAGTGAAAATGCGAATTGAAAAAGAAACATGAAAAATGTATCAGAAGAAACCTCATTGACTTGGGCACAGTTTGTGACACGTAATGCCCTGCTAGCAAATTGGAGACTGCTTTTAGTCTCATCTGAATGTATCTGCCACAAAATAAAGTATTCTTAACTAGATAAAACATAAAAAATAGGAAAAAACAAAATTTCAGCTCAGACTTGAGGCAACAGATGCAAGAGAATCAAACAATGCATCCGAAAAGAAATCAATCTTATGGGAACAATGACGACTTAGAAAGCTTCAAAATCTAGACATAATTTAGTACAAAGTATTCTAAAAATAGTTATATTTCACATTCACATGGACAATTTAAAAGGGGGGGATCTCAGTTAAAATTGTGCGACAGAGAGGCTTCTTACCTGAGCAAGAGTTATATTACATATCATAGCTGTATTAGCATTTCCCCCCAGTGCAGGTTGTAGGATTCGTGTAAGCTTGCTATCTCGATAAGGAACATGACCACTGCAATACGCATTAGATTCGTCTTTTCATTTTCTACGGGAAATGTGAATAGCTTGATTATAATTCAAACTTACCCTTGGCTCTCAGCACCTTCACTTAATTTTTTAATCACAGTTCCCAAAGTCATTAAGCTTTTGTTTATGTGGGAACCCTCTTTGAGACGCACACCTTCAGCTCCAGTTTTTGCGGCACGTTCTGAACCAGCAAGATCCACTAAATTCTAGAAATGAAGAAAATAATCATCAAGAAGATTCATTTTCTAAAGGGAAGGAAGATAGACAAACGGACTAAAATGCATAAAAAGAGAAAAGGAGAGAGACATACCAACACTGACACACGGACAGCATCACAACAATTGCCATTTTCTTCACATTCACTTCTATCACGACTCTCAATAATCTGGTCAACCGAAGATATAAAAGCATGAGAACGAATGTAAGCTCTTATGTCCAGAAAAAAAGACAAATCAGAAGGAATATATTGCTCACCATGCGAAAAATAGTATGCGACCTACTACTGTATAAATTCATATTTGTCTCTCCAATATGTCTATGAGCTGAATACCAAGGAAAGAACATTAGGATTGAATGATTAAGGGGGTTTTAAAGAATGTTTTTATGAAAACTGCAAAATTTGCATTACATTCTCCAAACTCCACGAGGTCAAGGACTTGCTCAGAAGAGGCAACAATTTCTTCACGCAACCCAGCAACATATATTCCACGCTGTTAGTTTAGACCAAAACAGTGATATAAATATCACAACAAACTTAATATTCATGTATAAGAGAATCAATAATCATAAGAAGGGGGGAAAACCTCTAGATTCTCATGAATCTGCAATTTTCTATGTTCAGGAACCAATAAATCATTTATCTCCTCATTATAGATTTCCATGTATGACATTCGAAGAAGGAACTCTCGATCAACATCCTAAAATAAATGAAAAAGGGTAAATGTATCACGAAACATACAAGATACCCCAAATAAAACAGTGCAAGTAGGCTTAATTAAATTGGAGTTCCGAGGAAACACGATTAACATCTCCAACTCAAAAACAACTCAATCAACAGCATGCTGATGGTTATTACCTGTTGAATAATCTCAAACAAGTCATGCACCGCAAGAGGGATGACCCCCGGTTCTGTTCGCGAGCCCCTCATTGTATGGGTTTTCCCACTATTAGTTTGTCCGTAAGCAAAAACCGTTCCTTAGATTCACAAAAAATAAAAAGAAAATCAAGTAAGCAGAATATATATGCAATCATGAAAACACCAAAATAGGAGAGATGCATTCATGGACTAGATGATAAAACACACCCATAAGCTTGACATCACATTTTTACACGACTTTAAGCATTAGATTAGTAAGCCAACCCATTCATAGAGTCAAGTAATTCACTTTCAACGAGGGACTTGCTAGACCAGCGATGAAGTTCAAAATATGCACACTGGTTCAGTTTTGAAGCATACTTGGCTGCTAGAGTATGATCATTACTGCGTATAGATTGAGTGAGTGAAAGCTAGATGGATTAATTCATTTGGAAGCAGAAGCAGAAGAGCTCATCTTTTGAAGACATAGAGAAGATGCCGCAAATTTTGTGATTATGCTTATAGAGAATATTTATGTCTAGAGGAAAAATATCAGCTTCAAACGCTTTAACAAAACAATCATCAACGTTAATCTTTGAAAAACCAGTAGGAGGAGCTTGATATAATTTTAAATCATGAAATGGCAAATTAAAGTGGGTTCTTCAGAATCAACAGGCCAACCATTAACACTCATATAATCCATTTCAAGGCAAAAGCATCATGAACAATAACATGGTTAGGATCCAATGCACTCCCTTCAAGAATGAATTTATTTCCAGAATTCCAGATACACCAACAAATTGAAGTCACCAAACCTGTGCTTCTGCTGTGAAAAACTTCATGTGATCTGAAATACACCACATATATAGAATAGAGGAATTTATGTGTTTACGCATGAAGACATGCATCTATGCTAGTCTAGCTTGTGATAAGTTTTACTCCACTATGGACAACAAAACCTAGTGAGTGTGAAGACAGTCCTGGCCTCTCGAATTCTTCTCTTGAGACCAAAGATTATCTTACAATTCAATAATCAACAAATTTACGGAAGAACGAGGTATGCAATAAATATAAATAATAGTAGTAATATATAAATTACTTTTTTGTGTGTAAATTAAGAATACCATTGAACCCACGAACAGCAGCGGCAACTATGTCCTTGGTGCAAGCTTGATATACTTGAAATGTGTTACAATCTTCGCGGAAAATTTGATCTGCGAAGCGTAATATGTTAGAAAGAAAAAAGAAAAACACAAATAAAAGTAACAGAGTGAACATTCAGTGGTGAAGGAAGAAAGAGGGTATACCGAATTCAAACTTGGTGGAGTGGTTAGGGATGAAGATGGAATTGCCGGAGATTCTCCAAGGGCTGGTCTTAGCATCCTCAGAGGATAGGGGCCTTGGCCGGACGGCGACGTGTATTCTCTCCATGAAAAGATGGGTTGGAAAGAACAGTACCCGCAATAGTCAGATATCGTTGAGCTGTCGCCGCCTAACCTGCGCCGTTGATGCGCCGCCGGACGAGAAAGAGAGAGCCGTTGGTCCTCCCAGGTCACAGTTCAAATCTTTTCCCGCCTATCATGCCCCGTGCTAATGTGCTTGAACTAGACGCGGTTGGCTTCCTGTTTGGATTAAATTTTATTTATATATATTTCTTTGCCGCGTCACTGAGCTAACAATCATCATCATCATGAGACTATTAATAATCAATATGTTCCGTGACTTTTATTTATAAAGTAGAGAGAGACTTTTAACATGAATATATAATTTTACTCTTGTTATGAATGTTATAATATATAGATGTTCATCTCCTCTTCTTCTTCTTCCTCTTCCTCTCAACTTTATCATCAGCTCCCACTATTTTCACTAGGCATTAATCTTCCACTACTCCATTACCTTTCTACTATACCTTTAATCTTGTAACTCCCCCCACTCATATTCATGTGGTTTATTGTCCACTATCTATCATTTAAGTACAAATGTAACTTATGTGTAAGACTATGCCTATAAATAAGGCATGCTATTGTATTGTGATGTAAGTGAAACAAGTGAAGGAATACAATATCATTCTCCTATTTTCTTGTCTACTTCTCTTCTCCAATTTACTCTCATTGTTGGTTAATTTCATAACACGTTATCAACACGAGACTCTACTATCTGAGTTCATGGCTTCCAGATGATACACGTGAATGTTTTGTTCGTTGAATGAAGATAGTTTGATCCGAATAGTTTGGTAAGATTTCTCCAATTTATTTAGAGGAAATGATGGTTTTGCATCTTAATTATATTGATTCATTGGCAACCGAATATTTTATTCATCGTATTGAGATGTGAAAATTTTTATTTTTATTTCTTATTTTTCTTACATTTTCATGATCCTACTATCCTTATATTTCTTGATTTGTTATGAGGTTTATGTTTATCTATAAAATTACTATATATGATTATCATCTCTGATATTGGTTAATTGTTGTCTTAGAAAGTAAAATGTTAAACTTATAAATAAATGGCTAATAGCCATTGTACTCTTGATTTTGTGATTAGATGGCTAGAAGCCACATCACGTTTTGATGATTATTTGATAAAAGACCATCTTATGGTAGTAACAGATGGCATGGCAAGATTGTGACAATTTGATAATCTATATCAAAGTCCTGAAGATTGATGGTTTAAAAATTAAATGATACAAAAGAATTTCGTAGTTCTAAAAATTTTATTATAGTCTGGAAGACTAATATTTGAGAAAATTGATGGTGTGCTATTGAAAGCAAAGAATATATCCATAAGAGTGATAAAGAATATGATCATATTGCATCAGTGGAATTGATAACTAAAAGAACAATAATCTTGGAGCTTGACTATTAAATCATAACAGAAAAATTAGTAATAGCCCTATGATCAATATGATAAAATTATGAACAAATATTATAATATGACCAGAAGTCATATAGACAAATATGTATCAATTCATTGAAAAGAAAATGTTAAGAAAAAAATGGTTGTAAAATCAAAAAGACCATGTGATATTATCAAAATATCGAAGGTAATTCTAACGCCTGAAGGCAGTAAGTTGTGAAGAAAGATAGATGCCCAAAGTATATATAAAAATAGAAAACATATAAGTATATGCCTAAAAGGCTATGTGTATAATGTTTAATTTTTATCGGTCTTTAAATTTATTGTGATTTGTGAGAAACAAATGTTATAAGAATTTGATATTATGATATTAATAAGTGTATGATATAAAACTAAATAGATCAAATAGACCCAAAAGTTACTAGTTATATTTTGTTTATTTATATCTTATTTATATGATTTGATTCAATATTAGTTTTGAATATTTTAAATATCTATAATACCTTGATCAATATTGAGAAGTTTTGAATGTTAAGTATTATTTGTACTTTATTTTTAAAAGTTCATTTTAAATGTTCTTCATCATTTTTGTGTGTTCTCTATGTGTCTTGCAAGTTAAATATGTGATATTCATAATTATTTGTTATTATGTTAATAATATATTGAAATAGAGTTATCTTTCATATTCCTCTTAAATTATATAGTTCTTGAAGAATTAGATGCAATAGTATTAATATAGTTATAGAAGAACTAATGCTGTTTTTTTTTATGAGTAGACAAAGTATATATAAATTATGAAGTACTCGGGCTTCCAAGCAAAAGATAGGTTATTAACCTTGACCCATCATATACTCATAATTGTTTATAAAATATATGAATAAAAGAATCATGTTTAAATGACTCAATCTTAAGAGGAGACTATTGGAATACAAGTATGAGTTGATATTGGATATATTTTTTATAAATGGATATCATCAATCATATATTATATTGAAAAATTTATTGTTGGTAACGAAACATGATACAGTAAACCAGAAGTTTACTGATATAATTGGATTTATTGTTGGCGTGACTTGTTTGATCATCTTAAACTATATGATGCAACAAATTATTGAAGATTATGTATTGATATTCACTAAAGAACCAGAAGATTCTTCCGAATAGCCAACATTTTTAAGAACTCGTATGTGCTGCTTGTTCTCAAAGAAAATTGATTATAAAATATCACTAGTTATGCTTTGTTTTCGAATGGATCACTACATTTCTGGAAATATATATGAGCCCATTTAGAAGCACATAAGTCATACAAGTATTCAATATTTGATAGATGCATCTATATAAAATGGTAAGATGTGTGATTGATATTAATTTACAACCTGAAGTTTGTAAGATTATTTAGATAAATATTTCCAGACTACGTAATTCTCAAAACTTGATATTAAAGATACTAGTGAATTTATATATCAGGCTTTTAATGTTGAAAAGCCTGCTTAACAAATTGATCTAGCAAAGTCATTTGTTAATGCCTCCGTGAATAGCTTGATCAATATTTATGAGAACAAATTTTTCCATTTTAGTGTTGGCATGTTTGACTTAATATATTGCAGCACTTATAGACATCAAGGTAACAAAATTCTCCCAATAAAATTGGCTTTTGGTTATGTTAGAAAGCCCCTAATTATCTCCCTTGATTCTCTCTATTAATTGCCCATGATATTAGCTAGAATATATATTTCCTGATTTAGTGTGATATGTAATTTATGACTGATTGATTCTAAAGGGATATTTTTTCTCATCCGGACTCTATATATTGTAACCCAATCATATGGAATAATACATGAGCATGAAATATTCAGCAAAATAAACATGGTATCAGAGCGTAGGGTTCCACCTGAACCCAGAAAATTTCGTGCGTTGCTGCCGTGAGATAGAGAGAGAGAACGCGAGGAGAGAGAGAGAGAGAGTGAGACGTCCCAGATCTGAAGCCAGGAGCAGACCGTGGACGACACCGCCCCTCCAGTCCTCACCGGCGTCCTCAGATCGGCGCAACCCTTGAACACGACATCGAACGGAGCTGCGCGTGAAGCACACGCGCCGTCACAAGCTCCGCACGTGAAGCCCACGCGCCGCCACTGCCCCTGCGCGTGAATGCACGCGCCGCCGCCGGAAAAAGCAACAGTACCTCCCAGAGATCCAGAAAATGAACCCATCAGAGTTCCCACCCCTTTTTGGGTCTGTTCGTAATATTCCAATGGCCCTTATGTCCGGTACATCTTCAAATACTCAAAGCACTCCTTTTTCACCTGTAGTCACCTCTCAAGCCTCTGATCCAGAACCATCCTTAACCTCTGAACATCAAGCTATGGTGGTGGCTCACAAACTTAATGGTAGCAACTATCTCCAATGGTCCCAAAGTGTGTTAATGTATCTCCGTGGGAAGCGTAAGGAGAAATATATCAATGGAGAGGCAAAACAACCTTCACATAATGATCCCAAATTTGACACCTGGTTTGCTGAAAATAATCAGGTGATGTCTTGGCTGTGCAACTCAATGACTCTCGAAATCAGTGAAGGATACCTCTTGGCAAGCACAGCTAAGGAAATCTGGGACGCTGCTAAGAGGACTTACTCCACACTAGACAACACTGCAGCCCTATTGGATCTAAGGAGGCAGCTGAAAGATCTGAAGCAAGGAAACTTAACTGTAACACAATATTACAGCACTTTAACAAAGATATGGCAGCAGTTGGATCTCTTTGAAGTTCATCCTTGGAAGGACATGGATGATGCTAATTACTACAGACAACTGGTGGAAAAAGGACGAACCTATGACTTCCTATTGGGTTTGAATGATGTCTTTGAAGAGGTAAGAGGTAGAATTATGGGTCTAAAACCGCTTCCCTCCCTATTTGAAGTCTTCAGTATGGTCAAGTTTGAAGAAAGCCGGAGACACCTCACTCAGGGTAACCAAACCCCAGTAGATGGCTCAGCATTGGTCACGAGGAGGTCCCCAACATTCGAGGGATCTGAGAAGAAAGGGACCAAGTGGTGCAATCACTGTAACAAGAAAGGCCACACCAGAGACGAATGTTGGAAACTACATGGGAAACCAACCCAAGGGAAGCAGAAACAACGGGAAGATAGAAAAAGCCACCACACCTCCTCTGAAGAAAAAGGTGATGATGGAGACCAGTTGACCAGAGAAGAGCTTCAAATGCTTCGTAAGATACTTGAAAAACAAAACAAATCAAAATCTGTTCCCAACGTGAACTTGATTCAGTCAGGTAATTCTATTATAGCCCTTAATGCAATGGTAACTAGTGATGAGACTTGGATTGTTGACTCCGGTGCTACAGACCACATGACTGGTAATAAGTCCTTCTTCAAAACCCTCAAATATTCCATGAGAACCTTAGGGTAAAAGTAGCAACTGGACTATATACTAAAGTTGAGGGTGTTGGCATTGTGGCCCTATCTGATGATCTGGAAATCCATAATGTTTTGTTTGTTCCTGCTCTTACCTGCAACCTTATATCTGTGAGCAAATTGACTAAAGGACAAGTATGTCGGGTAATCTTTGATGATGTTAAGTGTGTTTTTCAGGATTCGACCTCGGGGAGGAAGATTTTGACTGCTAAAGAATGGGATGGACTCTACTACTTTGAAGGAAAAAATATGAAGACTGCAGGAGCAAAGAAGGCTATGGTTAGCTCTAATTCTCAGAATAAAAATGTAATGTTGTGGCATCAAAGATTAGGCCACCCCAGTTTTGATTATATGAAGCATGTGTTTCCAACTTTATTCAATAAAAATTCTTCTCCTTTCCAATGTGAAACGTGTCAAATTGCCAAACAAACTCGCGCCTCTTATCCCAAACATACTTACAAACCTACTGCCCCGTTTACAATGATTCATACTGACATTTGGGGACCAGCCAAAATCAACACCCGAACAGGCACAAAGTGGTTTATTACATTCATCGATGATCACACCCGGGTCACATGGGTTTACCTTATGAAAGAGAAATCCGAAGCTTTACAAATCTTCAAAAATTTTCACTCGTTTGTGAGAACCCAATTCCAAACTCCCATCAAAGTTCTGAGAAGTGACAATGCCAAAGAGTATGTGAGTGGAGCCTTTAGGGAATTTCTTGAGCAGGAAGGAATCCATCACCAAACCTCATGTGTCTATACTCCTCAACAAAATGGAGTTGCTGAGCGGAAAAATAGGCATCTTCTAGAAGTAACCCGAGCTATTATGATGGAAAGAAATGTTCCAAGTTTGTTTTGGGGAGATGCTGTGCTAACCGCTGCTTATCTCATCAATCGAATGACCTCCAAAATTCTCCATTTCACTACCCCCATACAAAAACTCCTCGAGACCTACCCCACCTCACCTATCATCAATACCATCCCTCAAAAGGTCTTTGGGTGTGTCGTCTTTGTTCATAAACATGATGGGGGCAAACTTGATGCTAGAGCAGAAAAATGTATTTTCCTCGGATATTCCTCCACCAAAAAGGGGTATAAGTGTTATTGTCCCACTACCAGAAAACTCATAATCTCCAAAGACACAGTTTTTTATGAGGATGATGCTTATTATCCCAAATTACCCATTCAGGGGGAGCACTATGGAGTAGAATGGCTAATTACACCTGAACCTATGACCAACCCCAACACACATCTTACCCCTCTTGAACCTGCCATACCACCTGAACCTATGATCATTGTCCCTGAACCGGAACCAAAAACCCCTAGTCCTACACCTCCACTAGAGCACCAAAACCCCACAAATATCCCTCACCCAATGGAAACCAATGCTGAAATTGATGCAGGGGTGACAGAGTGTTCAAGTCCTCAATCAGGTGAGCAGGACAGTAGTAGTAGGGTTCCTTCCATTCCAAGGCAGCAACATGATTCCAATCCAGAGTTGGATCCTGAAGAGCTAGGATGGCCCATTGCACTTAGAAAGGGGGTAAGATCATGTACTCAGCATCCTATTCAAAAATTTGTCTCTTATGGCAATTTATCTGCTAGAATGCAAACCTTTGTGGTGAATAGCTCACAGGTGAAGATTCCAGAAACATTTCAACAGGCTATGAAAGATCTTAATTGGAAACGTGCCGCATATGAGGAGTTGAGAGCCTTAAAGGAAAATAACACATGGGATATTACCACACTTCCTAAGGGTAAGAAAGCAGTGGGTTGCAGGTGGATCTTCACCCCTAAATTCAATCCTGATGGAAGTATCAATAAGTACAAAGGAAGATTAGTTGCTAAAGGGTACACCCAGACCTATGGGATTGATTATCAAGAAACGTTTGCTCCTGTGGCAAAGTTCAACACCATCCAGGTACTCCTGTCCCTAGCTGCTAACCTTGATTGGTCTCTACATCAACTAGATGTGAAGAATGCTTTCCTAAATGGAGATTTGGAGGAGGAAGTGTACATGGCAATCCCAGATGGAGTAATAGCTCCACCCAACTCAGTTTGCAAACTGAAGAAATCACTGTATGGCTTGAAACAGTCTCCACGAGCGTGGTTCGACAGGTTTGCCAAGGCAATCAAAAGGTTTGGCTACATCCAAGGACAAGCTGATCACACTCTCTTCGTCAAACACAGTAATGGAAAGGTAACGATCCTAATTGTGTATGTGGATGATATAGTCATAACTGGCAGTGATGAAGTTTCTATCTCCCAACTCAAGAAAGCTCTAGCTAGGGAATTCCAAGTGAAGGACCTAGGACAAATGAAGTACTTTCTTGGAATGGAGGTTGCTAGATCCAAAAAGGGTATAAGTGTGTCTCAACGAAAGTACACACTTGATTTGCTCCACGAAACAGGAATACTTGGGGCTAAACCTAGTGAGACGCCTATGGAAGAATCATGTAATCTGGAAGTGAAACCAGACGGGGTACCAGTCAACTCAGAAAGGTACAGAAGACTTGTAGGTAAACTGATCTACTTGACTCATACAAGGCCTGACATTAGCTATGCAGTTGGAGTAGTAAGCCAATTTATGCATCAACCCCAGGAAGAACATATGGAAGCAGTATACAGAATCCTGACCTACCTCAAACTCAATCCTGGAAGAGGAATATTCTTTAAAAAGGGGAGTACAAGGAACATAGAGGTCTACACTGATGCAGATCATGGGAGAGCTGTGGATAACAGAAGATCTGTCACAGGATACTGCACTTATGTTTGGGGAAACCTAGTCACTTGGCGAAGCAAGAAACAGACTGTAGTCTCAAGGAGTAGTGCTGAAGCTGAGCTAAGGGCTGTAGCCCTGGGGGTATGTGAAGGAATGTGGGTGATCAGACTTCTGAAGGAATTGAGAATTTCCTATGAAGGACCTATGAACCTCTGGTGTGACAACCAAGCCAGCATTGAAATGACCAAGAATCCTGTGTATCATGACCGAACAAAGCATGTTGACATTGATCGGCACTTCATCAAAGAAAAGGTTGAAGATGGCACAATTAACCTGAGCTATGTGCGCTCAACTGATCAGATTGCTGACGTCATGACCAAACCTTTAGCCAGAGTCAAGTTTGAAGGGCTTCGAAGCAAGCTGGGAATGGTTGACATCTACTCTCCAGCTTGAGGGGGAGTGTTAGAAAGCCCCTAATTATCTCCCTTGATTCTCTCTATTAATTGCCCATGATATTAGCTAGAATATATATTTCCTGATTTAGTGTGATATGTAATTTATGACTGATTGATTCTGGAGGGATATTTTTTCTCATCCGGACTCTATATATTGTAACCCAATCATATGGAATAATACATGAGCATGAAATATTCAGCAAAATAAACAGGTTAGGAGCCAGATATTTTTCATTTAAAAAAATTGAAACATGCAATATTTATTCCTACCAATCCACCACAATGCACATAGATGGATATTAAAAGAAAGTTGGGACATATGTTGGGTAAGAACCTCCTTCTTCTTGTTTGTCTCTAAATGGAACAAAACAATGTTCCTAAAAGAAACAAATGGATTTAGGAGACTTATACTGCATAATTAGTTGACTGTTATTTGACAAAATTTTCATAACATGAGGGGGAGAAATTGAGTAGCTGGAAAAGAGAATGCATAGAATGCATTATTACTATCAAATGCAGATCCTCATATATATCACGATGGACCGGAAGTTCATCAAAATTGCATTCATGAAATGCTATAAAATATTTTACTGACCTGAATGAAAATTTTTAAATCTCTTATTCCAGCTAAAAATGCTCCAGTTATTATAAATAAAAATAAGACATGCCATAAGCATGAGAGGTTAATCGGTTCCAATATAAATATATTGAATAAAGAGGAGCATACAACTTAGAAGTTGTATTGAGGAGGCATGTACTCTGGAAGAGTGTTAAGACATAACTAATTGTAAAACCCCAGAAGAGGTTCAGGTACCTGAAAAGGAAGAAAGAGATCTCAACAAGTTATGTCACAAAAGAAAAAATGGAACCGAAAAGGTAAAGTTGTCGACAATGATTTTTATAAGAATATCGCGTGATAAAAAGAGGATCTTACACATCGATCTATCATACAAAGTAGATATAAATTTGGCCAAGAAGAAAAGGAAAAGGAAAAGGAAAAGGATGTGATGAAAATATCATTTCAATATGTGAAAATGAGCCTGCAGTCCCAACACATGAAATATAAAGTTTATGTAAATATGGACGTTTATGTGAAAATATAGATCTTCACAAATGATTATGATGAGACATATTACTTTGTAGTGGATATAATTTTACATATTTGAATAGTCTGACATTATGAAATATGCCTGTTAGATGACCCATGGATGAGGAGGATCATTAAATAGTAAAATTTACATGATAATCCTTGAAGGATCCAAAATATGCCAGGAGCATATATAAGAAAATCTTTCAGTATATAAAATAATATAAAGATTAAAATAATTTCAGTATAAATGATCCATTTTATAGTTTTGAATCAAAATATATGAAATTCCCTGAAGAATTTCACTTGCCAGAAACATACAATTCAAGTTCTTGAGCACAGTGATTAAGTTAAATAAGTTGCCAGAAGCAATCAGGGCGTATATGGTATAACCGACTAAGTAAATATCGGTTGAAGAAATTATATAAAAATGATCTAATTTGCCCGTGCATTTTTATGAAAAGATCTGAAAATGAGTTTGCTATGATTGTTGTTTATGTTGATGACATATATATTATTAGAACTCCTGAAGAGCTTACAAAAGTTATGGATTGCTTAAAGAAAGAATTTGACATGAAAGACTTGGGAAGAACAAAGTTTTGCTTCGGATTGTAAATACTTGAGAAATGGAGATTTTTTTTTTGTATCAAATAATTGATACAAGAAATGCCTTAAAGTATTTTTATATGGATAAATCACATCCATTATATACTTTGATGGTTGTGAGATTTGTGGAGGTGAATAAAGAACCTTATATATTTTGACAAGGTGATGAAGAACTACTTGGTCCAAATGTACCAAATCATAGGTCCAGAAGTACCATATCATATCTTATCACTCATGCGTGACGTCACATATCATTTGCTGTTAACTTACTGGTAAGATATAGTTTTTCACCAAAGACATTGGAATAGAATTCTAGATTCTTTTCTAATTCACATACTGGTAATTCCAAATAGAGTATTTATCTCACAATATCCAAAAGATGGTAAAATAT